ATAAAGTGTTATTTTGAAATGTTGAAGTGAGTGACAACAATTGAGGTTGTAAATTAAATAAGATCTTCGAAATCAGGATTACCAGGATTCTTCGGACAATCGACGTAAGGAGATTCAGTATTAGTGTGTTAATGAAGTGGAGATTTCTGTCGCAACTAAAAACGATACGGGAGATGACAAATAAAATATGAAAAAATGATCGCGACAGGAATGTTTCGGTTCATTAAGTCCATCTTTGGACTCTGAGAACTGCATGCATTCAAATTCTTCAAAATATCAATGACAAATACAGAAATGCAGAACGGATCGAACTGTTTACACAGCTATTCAGAGGTAGAAAAATGAGGGCAACTGGGGAAAAGGATAATGGGCCCAATGGAAGGTGCAAATTTGTGCTCTCTTTTAGTATTCAAATCCGTAATAAAGCATCACCTTTCGACCGGATCATTCAAATCGCGAGCAGCGCATAATTGTGATGGATGAACGAACGGAATCCATGCTTCTGTTGCTCCGAACGAGTCGTGGTACGGGCAGGAGGAGGCGGTCGACGAGACGAACAGCGTGGCAAAAAGCGTCCGTCCTTCGCCGTCCGAAGAAAACAGCAGATAAAAAGATGGTTCGCGCAGGAAAATAAAAAATAAACCTGATTCCACGGAGAGGCGAGCCCTCCCTCCTCCTCGCATACTCCACCCAGTCGGCCTCCTATATAAAAGCTGAAACGTACAGTTTCGGGACGCTAGTGTAGTACGCAGCCACGTTCATCCAGCCTCCGTGATCCATTCGTCGCAGCAATGGATCTGGATAATCGAATAAAGGCCTACAAATTTGTCTCCTACGCAGCTGTCACTTTCTCAACAGTTGCCGTACTGTCAGTCTGCGTAACACTGCCCATGGTCTACAACTATGTCTATCATGTTAGGCGACATATGAAATCCGAAATAAACTACTGCAAGGTTAGCCTAATTTTAGGAGGTTTTTTTTTTTTTTTTTATTTTTGGGCGGATGAATATTGAGGGCAAGAGTAGAGGCCGGACTGATGTATTATCAAATAAGAAATGTGAAGATGCGTTTCTGACAATGGCCTGAGACATATGTACTGCTTGATTTGTTGAGTTCAGATCCTTCACATTCATTTGAGGACACTGGCTTCTTAAAATTCGATTCGAAAGCGGGAAATTTCGGTAGAAATCGTACAGTTCAAAATGTGAGAACAAGTAAATACCACTGTTTCGATATTCTCACTACACCTCTATATAAACACCCGAAATCTGAATTTTGTGTGGTAGCATAGTAGATTAATCGAATTCAGGTAGGCAACAGGGGCAATCAAAGGGATATGAAGATGAGGAAATGTTTGAGAAAGTCTTGTCGTTAACTAAGAATAAATTTCAGCACGCGATAGCTCTCGGAATTACATCAGGTCCGGGCAAAATAGCCTAACGTAGCTGTGCACGGCGTAAATCTATCCTAGTAATATCGCATCTTTAAGTGTTTGTTCGAGAAATCTTGGAAATTCTGGTAATATTGCAATATCAAAAATCAAGATTTTGCAGCTTAAACAAAATTGTCTGGCTCATTAACTTATACTAGAGAAATTACGCACTTATTTT